TAATATGCGAATTTGGAAAAGAAAGAAAAGTAAAAAAAAATATTGAGAAAATATTTCTCAAAGTTTCGTCACTATCACAACTAGTTTTTTCATTTTGAAGACTTTTTATTACTCCAAACTTCCTCGTATCTGTCATTTTTCTTGAACTGATACAATTTCGTTAAAGTCTGTTTTTGGAGAACTTAACTTAAATAAAAAGGAAACAAAGAAAGCATGTAACCTGTCCGGTGGACGCAATCAATGCATTGAGGACTGTATCTTTGGTCCAGTAAACGATTATGTAGAGACAAGTGACAAAGAATATAATGCCGCGAAAGGCTTGTCGAACCCATTTATGGTTTCGTGAGTGAACCCACACTAGTAGTGAGTGGAACATATCATCATCAGCTTCCAACGACTTTGAAGATGGTTCTTTGGTGTCTTTCATTGAAGATGAAACAAAAAAATGAATAGCTAATTGAATGACAAACCAGAAATGGTGAGCCGAGCTAAACGAAGATTGAGAAATTAGAAGAAGACAATGTCAATTGCCATAACTCACAATAAGGCGATACCAATCATCATGAACCAAGAACTGGTAAAAGCTAACCATCCCATTCCAAATGGAAGAAAGAGCAGCTGAATAACAAAGTTTACCGCAAAGGCAAGCCACATAATAGCCGCCTGTAATGTGAAGATACCAGAGAGCAATCTAATGAGAAAAGTATTGGTCAGCCAATCGGAAGCACGCAATACAAGATTCAGCCATTTCTGCTTGGTACCGCCGATTGATGGTCTCATTTCTTGTGAATCATCTGCATCAGCTCTGCGTTGAAGGGCTTCACTCCCTCTAGTACTCTTCAATGGTTTCGCCACTACAATGAGATTCACATTATTTAAACAGAAAATAAAAAAGAATTAAGCTTAGGTCGGAAAAACGAAAGCAATCTCAAATAATTTTGCTTCCGTTGAGGAGTATCCAAGTGTTGAATCGTTTCTAAAACTGGTCTACTATCAAAAGTAGATTTTTATGAGTGATGACTGACTCAAGAATGATTTGAATGTTAAAGGTTTTGAACCCCACATATGGGACTTTAAAGTAGATTTTTTCTAGCAGAACAGGTTTTAAGGAAAGCTCAAGTTACAAATTTCGATATCAAAGTTTGCAAGGATAGAGATCAGATCGAGATATACCCGAAATCATATTATTAGTAATTTTCTGTAACTCCTTTCTAAAACGCTGATTTAAAAAAAGAAATATGAATCTCTGCTAAAGCAGAGTTCCTAAAGACTTCATACCTTTGAAAGAAGTTATAGAAAAGTTCTAATAATGCGGCTTCGGATTTATCTTAATTTAGTCCAGATCTGTGTGATGTTCGAAGTCAAGATTCAACTTTGAATTTCCCTTGAAAAACTTAATCTTGCTGACAAACATCTACTTGAAAGTCTTATATCTCTGTTTCAAAGACTCAAACATTCAAACCATTCTTTAGCTAGTAACCAATCATAAGGATACCGCTTTTTGAAAATAGTTTCGTTCCCAAAGCCATATAACACTTAAATACTGTTCCTTATCAGTGACTGAAAGTTTAATGCAGTTTTTTTACCTAATCGCACAGAAAATTCATAACGCTACACGAAAAAAACAACTCATGAAACATTACACCACGAAAATAGATGAGAATCGAGTTCTATAATTCTTTAATAATTTGAAGCAAAAAACAATTCTAGAAAAATGGCACAATTTTATGTAAAGAAAAGTTCAGTTCTATCTACTCAGAGGATAGATCACTGATTGATTGATTTAGAGAATATGTGTTGTACCTGACGATTTTCCAGCGAGCTGATCACTGTCGGAAGAGCGAATCGACTCCAATGAGGAGAGCGGATAAGCACTAATGTGTCTAGTATTTTGATTAACAACTGGACCATGAGGAGAGTTGTTAGCAGAATTACGAAATTCATGTAATTCGTTGCCATTTTCCTTATGATGGTTGAGCAGCTTTGAACGCCATTTCTTTGTTATTCCAGACGATAGATTTGACGAGTCAGTAGTCATACTGCAAAAATGAATAAAAAAGGAAACTGAGAAGTCACAATGGCATGTCGTCTTTCTTTTATCAATGGTTTTCTTTTTAGCAAGAAACAATTATCTTATTTCTTGTATCAATATTCTTTATCGTCTGACAAATTGCATGCATGGCTCATGCATTTCTCATGATGCTACTATTAAAATTGTCACCGTTCGGTTACTCATATAAACCGAAAGCAGTACTCTAAAATTAGAATATCATTTTTAGCGTTGCTTTCTGACAAATCAAATGCATTAGGTTTCAAAATGATAAGAACGTTCTCCTGCTTCAACCAGTACTACCAAATATGGTCACGAATTTGTCGCATACGTGAAATAATTGCTTTTGTACTTTGAATAAAGACCTATATATCTCTGCATGTTACTGTGTTGTGTTTCATACTAAACTGTGACTGACAAATTATTGGACAGATCACTGTGAATGTCTATAGTATGTAGTAGTCACAATGTATCATGATATCATGAGGTTCATGACTGTTTTCCTCTTATCAATGTTTTTAATTTTTATTCCTATTAGTTCGATGTTTTTGAGCAAGAAGTATGGAGAAAGTGGAATGACTCGAATGATCTTTAAAATGTGAAAAAAAATATAATTCGACATCGTAGCTGAATATGTTGCATATGGGTGCTATGGTTCTTGCTGTCTATTGATAAAAGTAATTTTGCAACCATAACTGATAATGTACTTTGTCAGTTAACCATTTCATGATCACTATTATCGTCGTACACAAACTTCAGCAATTACTTGCCATTGGTTTCATCTTTCATGTACACAGCTATTGAATCATTATCGAAATGCTATGAAGAAATCCATATTCCTACCTGTGATATTGATGTCTTGCTTCATTCATTGCGTAACTCTAAACCGATGTGTCAATGATTTTAGTGGGCTGCACACGAATAGATGCATATAGATAAAGAGTATTTATGTATCTCGGTACTTATCTATTTAGATAAATAATATCATTCTGCTCTGTTGTGTCGACGGTAGAAGGTGTTTAGTCTCTGTTTGAGATAACATGTTTTCATGATATGCAATGAATGTAAAAGGACAGCGAACATCGAATATGAAGCAACAAAGTCATTGAGATGTCGACTGCAAATGACTTTGACTCTGCCTGGAGAACTGAATCGATATATAATTGAACGAGTACAAGATTGCAAGCCTCCTCCCCTCCTCTTCCCCCCCCCCTCCCCCCCCCCGTGTCAAAAATTGGTATCACAGCACTGTTGATACTCGTCTCATAGAACGAGGAAAATAGTGACTTCTTGCTAGAAAATCGAACTAGAACTATTTTCGATTGTTCTTTGGTGACAACAAATACTCATGTCAGCATCATCAGCTTGAATGTCTTGAGTAGAAAATCAGATGAAATTCAAATCTGTTAACAAATATCTAAGCAGCAAGAAGAACGTGCACAGATCATCTTATGTGAGATTGGTGCATACTTATAGACCAGAGCTTTCTATATTCTTGATTAAATCTTCTCATCGATTCTTGTTAACATCAATTATAAATTGCGACGAGGTCTTGAAACCCAAGTTTGAGTACTCATTGACAAAATCCCACACGTTTAGTCTAAGAATATGTTTAACAGAATCATGAAAAGCTTCGTGTGATACAAAGAAAAAAGAATTGTAACAAGGTTCATCTGTTTTTTGAATCTTCATTAACCTTGTTTTATTCTTGACAAGATTCTTATCTCGTATAACATCCTTCCTGTTATGTCTGTCATGATTCCAACCAGCAGCAAAAATGAATTATAATAAAATATTTAAGTCTCTGTTAAGAAGAAAATCTGAGTAGGGTCTTGGAAAAATATGTTACATTTGGAAGTTTTAACTGTCGAACAAGTCATGAGATCAGTACTGTCCTATGACAATATTTTCAAATCTGTTCAAGTTCATGTATGGTTTTCACAGAATTGGAGAAAAGTGTAGTCCAAATCTTTTGAAATTAAAGAAATGAGTACTCCATGAACTTCGATTATTTGGAGAAATTAGAGTAAAGTATAACCTAAACCTTCACAAATTGAAGAAAGATGTAGCTCAAATTTTTTCAGAACTCACAAAAGTTGTCGTCAAATTTTCAAAAGTTTGTACTGCCACTATTTCAGTTATGGTTAACTATTCAACTATTAGTAATTTTGTTCAGAATTTTCAAATGTTTAAAATAGCTGCAATTCTTGCGTCATTAGGTTCAGCAAGAACATACAAGATTCAATAGCATTGCTGTCATTTTAATGGCTGTAGACTTTTCTACTAAAATTTCCAATATATCAGCTAATAATAATGATGAATACTATTGAAAAATTGTTAAATCATCTTAATAAATTAAACCCAAATTGTTTTATATGTACTAAAATTAACTAAAACAAATTCATTAATAGTTCAAAATGTTAGAAGTTAACGATAATATGATTTGTTTTGAAATATGAAGCATTGGAAAAAAATTTAATGTCAAGGGGACGACATAGTCAGATGAAAATTGAATTTGTCTTATTGATCAAAAAATTAATAGTATCAAATTATGTGAGAAATACATAGAATGATTCACTTAAAAAAAGCGTAATAACATGCTTTTCTTTTAAATATTTCTATTACGTGTTACTTTTTATTACAAAAATTATTCCAATACAACGATTTGACATATATTCAAATACATATGTTTACTTCATTCTCGTGACATGACGACTTGCAATAAAGAAAATAACCATTTGTTTGTGACAGTTCATTGTCGATTGTAAATATAATGGTTGTTGAATCTTTGCAAATAAGCCTATAGTCGTTCACACATAATTTGATCATAAACAGAAAACCATTTCATTGAAATATATTGAATCATAGAATCTATTGACATTTAAAAGAAAAAGAAAGGAAGTGGAATTAATATCACGAAGAATTTCGAAGTACAAAATCGTTTATTAAAATGAAATCACTGTTTAACATTGTCTTGATTTTTTTATTAATCTATTGTATTAGTACTCATATTGGTAAGATTTTAATTTATTATTTATTGTCAAGAACAAAAAAAAAAGAAACTTTTTTTTTTCGTCTTTATTCAAGATACTTTGCATTATACTACTATTGTCACATTTGGTGATTCGACAACTGATACCGGTAATGCCTATCGAATTTCAAATCATACTTGGCCACCTGTACCTCCATTCAATTCAAATGGTGGTTTTGCAGATGATCTTCTTTGGAATCAAATATTCACTCAACAATTATTACGTAATGCGACATTACAAGATTATTCTTATGGTAGTGCTACGACTGATAATCAATTAGTTCAAGGTACAATGAGTGATGCTCCAAATCTAATTGCTAATTATTCAATTCGAAATAATACAAAACCACCGAGTGTTCGACAACAAATATCTGAATATATCAATACAACAATGAATGAAAGTATTGATTTTGATCAAACACTCTATGTTATTTGGGTTGGTATCAATAATTATAATTTTAATAAATCCTTAACACCATTACAAACTGTCGAAAGTATAATCAAATGTTTAAATCAATTAATATTCTTCGGTGCAAGAAATTTAGTCGTTATTAATGAACCACCATTTGATCGATTTCCAGCATTTCGAAATAAAAATACAACAAATACAACGAAATATTTATATCTTCAACATAATGAAATTTTATTTGAAAAAATTAATGAAATATATTTATCATTAAATAGTCGACTTCATATTCATTTATTTGATAGTTATACATTTATTTCAAAAATCATAAATAATTATGCGAATTATAGATTTGAAAATTTAGATAATTGTTGGGATACAGAAAGTAATTCAACTGTTATAATTAAATGTCAAAATGTAACAAAAAGAATATTTACTGATGAATATCATTTAACATCAGCAATGCAAATATTATTTGCAAAAGAATTTTATTTTACATTAGCGGGATCAAATTCAACATCGAAAGGAATAAGTTTTATATCAATGAATTTTCATTTATTTATTGTTGAAGTTTGTATAATTTTTCTTTTGAAATAAACATAATCATTAACTATCATTTACTTCTTATATCTTATTTTTAATAATTATGCCTATATTAATATCTTAGCGATGTGTCAATTCCGAGTTAGAATAATCATTAGAAATATCTAATAAGAAAAAATAGTTTATTGAAAATATGTCGTGAAGCCATTTCAATAACCTTTCACAGTATCGCCTGAAGAAATTCTTTGACCTTTTTATAGAAAAAGAAATGACCATTAAATCGAACAAATGGAATGTGTATTCACACAAATTATACATCAAAAGATGTTTTTTAATATAGAGACATATCCAGTAAAATTCCATTGTGTATTAATGAAAAACTCTCTAAACTTTTGAACTTTATACTAAACACACATACAGACAAGTTTTTATCTCATAAGACTTCCTTAGCAATGGACAAAAAGCTCGTTCCAAAAAAATTCATGAACATTTCCAAACCTTCATCGAAATTTTAATGACTAAAATACATTTGTGAAAGACCTAGTTAATACAGTTTCTGACTTTTGCGCAAATAAAAATTCATGTTTACGATGTCAACGATTATGAATAGTGATGCCTTACTTTGTCACTGTCATTATATGATCAAAATAAAAAAAATTAAGTCCTACCGTTGATACTATGGATATGTGCTACAGACCTAGTTATCAGTTAAATCAATGGCTAGATCAATGATAAAGAGAAACAGAATATGAAAATAAAAAACAACAAATCAATAATAACAAGGGAAATTAAAAAGAAAAAAACTCCGTTCGAAGCATAGGAATAAATAAGAAAGAGCAATTCCTTACCCGTCGATAATCCTTGAAAAACAATAATAGTCTGATAGAAATTTTCCACTTTATTAGTAAATAAGGCTAAACAACACATGTGAGTTCTATATTGCAGCCCCAAAAAGCGTTCATTCACAAGTTTGTTCTAGGAATACAATGGAAGACCTTGAATTTTCTAATATTACATATAAAAGTACGGCTTGCCATAGAAGAAAATTAGATATCGATAGTTGTTTTTATTCATCAATGATCTTATCTGACATATAAAAAAAAGAACAGAATCGAAAAATAAAATTATTTCTTATGATATTGAATTGTTGCAAAAAGTGGCATAATTTCATTGCGACTAATACGAAAATTAAATGCACATGAAAGTTTTTTCTTAGATAATGTATGTATATCAGCATGATAATCACCATTTTCAAGCATATCAATATAAATAGAAAGATCAAATAATCCTCGTTGTTCAACATTAACTATCCATGATTCTGAACATGTACATGAACATAAAAGAATAAGATCATTATGATGAAATTTTTTTTTTAAATAATCATATGTATCTTTTAATAATGCACAAGATGATATTATCTTAAATAAATCTTCTTGTTGTTTAAATAATGGAAATTCAAGATAACCATCAATTATAATTATATCACATGATGTATTAATTAAATGTTTATGTACATCAATTAATGTTGGTAAATAATAAAATTGTATAAGATGTAAATTAGCTAATAATAAAGAATTTGGTATTAATTTATGAACAAGTGATGGAATAGTTTGTATTGGTAATGGTGTATAATAACAAATTCTTTTACCAATTGAAGCATAAGAAAGTGATGATTGAAAAAGTAATGAACGAAAACATTGATCAGCATCACCACAAAGTAAACATGTTTGAGCAAATGAAAATGTACATTGTAAATGTTCAAATATAGATTGTTCAGAATTATTTCGTTCAACAAAATTTCCAAGAGGAAATATTGCACCAAGAATATTCATTGCAATAATTTATTGTACAGAAAAAAAAAATTGAAAGAATCATTCGATTTGTTAGAGAATATATCTAATTAAAACGAATATTTTTCATTTTCATGATGTCACTATTAGATGGAAAGTATAACAAACGAACAAATAAAAAAATAAGTGATCTATAGTTTAAGGCATCATTCAAATGATTATATTCTCATATACTAATTAAACAAAATCACATAGCCATTAATTGGTGAAAACCTCAGATTGATTGTTGTTACGATTGTCAAATTATTGAGCTTACATTCACCTCTCTTTAATTCTGACGTAGATATTAGAATAACATCAAAAATAAACGTCAAGATGTTATTTGGGCTCCCCGAGACAAAAAAAAAACATTACAAACCATAGTAAACTTGTCTTCATTTTTTTAAGAAATATAAATGTCATATAACTGAAGTCTACTCACAGAACGCTTTGATCCTTGTTTATATCGATAAAAAAGAATTATTCAACACAGTGTCATAATGTATTCATTAGGTTGTCTATGTTTCTACAGATTTAATAAGTTTCATGATAATCGCGAAACTACTCATTCATAAGATCTTAAAATATATCGATGCTGAAACACTACTGAAGAAAGTTCACTCAATATTTTAGCAAAGTAAAAAAAAACACTAACAACTTTATACTATCACGTTTCAGAGTAAGTGATGTTCTATTGAGTATATTATGACACTATACCAAACAATTCAACTTTTCCTAGGTTAATGTAATATACACAAAAAAAGAATTTTTTTTTTATGTCAAAATTATAGAAACCTTGTGGATTCACCTAAATATAAAGTATATTTCAATGGAAAGAAAAAGGATCCTTAACTTTAATCAATAATTTGAAACTTTCTATTCATAATAACTTATCAATAATTGATTATTCTGTTTTTTTTTTCTTACATGTTCAAAATGATCATTATAATTTCATGTCTGTGTCTTTTAATCGAGTACATATAAACATCATGCATGTCATGTTGTAATTTCTACATTTCAGATCAAAGACATATAACAATGTATAGGCAGATGCTTTTCTATAAATGTCCATTCGATTTTCTAAGCAAAATTTTATTTCAAACAAGTTCTTTATATAAAAAGAAGAAGAAGAAGAAGAAGAAAAAAAAACCAGTTCCGCTTCCTCTACTCATCTCAATATCAAGAAAAGGAAGAAAAAAAGAAGCACGTAATCATCATCGTTGATCTAATATGATTGAATAAAAAATAAGCCGAAATGTAAACATGATCTATTTTTTCATTAGTCAAGACAATAGGAAGTGATAATCGTCTAGCGAAAGCATCGACATCAAATAAAACTATTAAACAAACAAATATCATGCCGTGCGCAAGGATGCTCATCAGAAAACATAAGAAATATCCAATATTCTCATTGGACATTCTTCTGCAATTGTCAATATAATTGAAATTAGAAGTCTTATTCAATTATGAAAAACAACAGACATTGACATATGATTAACAAGAAGGTCAAATAGAAAATATTACTTTCTAAATAGAAAATATTCTTGCAACTAACAGAACTTTTTTTTTTTGTTTCAATAATTAATTATATTGAATTTCGTCATTTGTTTGTACATAAACAAACAAATTATCACATGCAAGACAAACAAAATTTACAAGAAAAAAAAACGCAAAAAAAAACCAAGTCGTACGATATAAAATAATCTAAATAATATGTTGAGAAATATTCTTCCTCGAGAGAGAGAGAAAAAAAAATGCTACAACCAATCAGATGATTTTTTTAATGTCGAAGTAAGAGAATGAGAGATAATTTTTTTTTTCTCCTATCATTGGATGATAAAGAAAAAAAAAAAACAGTTACAACCGAAACGTACACACATCTCGTTGACGAATACCAGACATACACTAGTCAGTTCATTTTATTAATATTATCTATCAGCATATACAGGTGATTCATCATTTGACTTATAATTATGTTCAATGTACCGAACGATTATTTTATATCATCACCGTCGTCACCTAGTCTAATATTTAATCATCAACATCATAATACACATTATCATCCATATAATCGTATATCAACATCTTATTATTCAACACATGAGTTTGAAACACATACATATGATGATAATCATACAATACAAAATTATAATCATAATATAACATGGAATGAAAATGATTTAGGAATAGGAGGACAAACAGGTAAGATAAAATATTTGTTATTGTGTTTTTTTGTTTTCGTTTTTGTATTAATTTAAAATTAGATTTCAAAAAAAAATAAAATAAAATATTATTTCAAATAGGTGCTCCTCGTGGTTTTAAACGACGTGTATCAGCTAATAAAAAAGAACGTCGTCGTACACAATCTATAAATACAGCTTTTTCTGATCTTCGTACAGCCATACCAAATGTTCAACCAGATACAAAATTATCAAAAATTAAAACACTTAAATTAGCAACAAAATATATTGAATTTTTAATGGATATATTATCTAAAGATGATTCAACTACTATGCCAAATACATTCAAAGCTGAAATTATTAAAACACGTCGAGATCATCGAGATTTAATGAAAGTATGATTTTTGTTTCCTTTAATAATATAATATATAGAATAATGTTCTTTAAAATTTATAGTTTGATAATTCATCATCAACACGTAAATTTAAAGGACGAACAGGTTGGCCACAAACTGTTTGGCAATCAGAATTAAATCGTCATGAAACTTTTCATCAACATGATAATAAACTATAATACACTACCATTTATGTCGCATTTTTTTTCCTTTTTTTTCTTTTGCATGCCGGTGGTGTACACAAATTTGATAATGTATAAAAGAAAAGAAAAGAAAGGTTAAATATCTTCATTTAAACTTATTTTAATGCATTCAAGGCATATCTTAATGTTTTATCTATTTCAATTTAATCAAATGAAGTCTATATATATATATATTTATCTTTAGGTAAAAATCAATGAATTTATGACTAAATAAAATTGTCTATGTATCTGTTTTATTTCTTCAATATCGCGTGAGACAAAGACAGAGTAATTTATGTTAAAGTAATAGAAAGAATGATGAAGAAAATACAATTTTCATAATATTAAATAGTAAAATGTAGTTGATTAATTATTCCTTTTTCTAAAAACAAAATGTTCTTTTATATCAACAATAGAGAAAGAAGAAGAAGAAAAAAAATAGCAACACGAGATCTGTTCAGTATCAATCATTATGATTAAGACAGATAGATAGACAATTATGCATTAGATGTATTGTCTATTCAAGAACAGAATAGAAGAGCAAAAGAGTAAAGGTTAATCTGTATTAATTAAAAAAAAAATATAAAATTCTAAAGTTATACAATCGTTCTCTGTCAATCGAATCAATATTTAAATTATAACATTTCATTAATGTTGAAATTTTCAAGATGATGATTATATAATTTGAACAAAAAGTAATTACCGAAGTTAGAAACCAGATAACCTTTAATTATTAACAGAATTATATAAACAAAGATTAGTAGATCATCAAAAAAAAAATTTTGATTTTAAAATAAAATCTATCACACAATAATAGATGAGATATTTAGAGTTAGAGAACACATAAAAAATAACATAAACAATTTTCATGATAAATGTACATGGTTATGATGATACACATAATTATTCATCAAAACTACTAATGGAACGATTAAAGATGACATCCAATACGTACAATACATATATATATAGTACGTAGACTCTGTCACCAAGAATACAATGGAATAGATTTTTTTTTTGTTGTAAAATTTTCTATGATGAATTCATTTTATTACTAAAAACCTTGGTTTAACAAATAATTTGTTCACATGCAATTCGTTCACGAAATACTGAAAATGTTTCAACTAAAAGATAAGCAACAATCGATCCAATTAATGCACCTAATTGTACATTAACACCAAACCAAAACATTCCATTAGATGAATATGTTCGTACATAATTTGCAATAATCAAACGAGGATAACCCAACAATACATAAGTACTAAGCCATATAATTAATATTAAAATACTACCTTTAGTTGTATCAACCCATGGTGGACAAGGACTTTTAAATGAAACATACATAGTTAATGAAAATGTAAATGATCCAAGTAAAATTAATATTAATATATAACGTTTAGATATAATAGGTTTTATCATTCCAAGTATCCAAATAATTGTTAACATCCATGGTGATATAATTGTTCCTAAATAAAAAATTTTATGTCCATAAGGCATTAATACATATGTAGATATTGAAAGAATCATTCCAAATAAAATTGAACTTGTATAAGTACATCCTAATGAAAGAAGAATATATGATAAAGTTGTTAAAGGTTTTTTTTTCTTATAAATTGTATCCATTGTTTCTAATGATATATCTGGTACAATTTGATGTGTATTTCGTGAAATTGATGTCCATTGTAAAAGTATAAATGATATTAATGAAATAGTTAAAAGAATAAATAAACATAAAAAATAGATTGATACTGAAAATCGTGCAGTTTCATAAACAGCTTCAGTTGTATTTGTTCCATTTATTATTTCAATACAACGAATTTGACCATTACCTTGTGCTATTGCTAATAGACTTGGTATAATAGATGTAAGACTTTCTCCAAGAAAAAGTGTATTTGTAAATTCTTTTCGAAATCGATGTATATAATCAGCAAATGAAATTGATGATGTACAATCAAGTAATGAAAGAAAAAATGCAAGAATTAATAATGCTGTACTACGTTTTTCATTAATAATAATTGTTGTATTGGACCAAAAGAAAATTAATAAAAGACATGAAAGCATACCAATAAGTATAACAACATAATTAATTGGTACTGGATTAAGTGTATGTTTTCGATAACAACATTTAATAAGAACAAGTATAAATGGTGCAATATTACCTAGATTTGTAATCAAAGCAAGATTAGCACCTAATTTCCAACTTTCAGGTTGAGTTAAAACAATTTGTGGTAATTCAGCAAATATTCCATTTATATCTGTCCATGATGAAAGAAAAAGAAGTGTTAATAAAATATAAGTTATATATTGATTGAGATTCCATCGATGATGATACATTGTCTGAAAATAGTTTTAATGATAGAACAATAGAAAATTAATACATATGATTTATATGTATGTTACAAAGAATAACATAAATATTTCTTTGAGAACAAATTAGAATCTTTATCGATATGAATAAATGCACGTTTTGTGTTTCTTTTTATCTAGATACAAAATATAGTGCATGAAAAATACAAGTAAACGAATCGAAACTGTTCTAGAGTCAAGATTACCTTCACGGATGACCTTTTTTAATCAATACAATATATATATATATTTTTTTTTATTTCTGTCGCTTAGAATTAAATAAAAAAAAACATCATAATAAACATTTTTTTTTTCACTGCGCAATATTATGTTTATTTATTTATTATTGACAAATCAATGAATAAAATATTTCGTCATAGAGTTTATATATATTTCTTGCATTCAGCAGGTGGATTGGATCCCTTAGAAAAAAAGAAAAAAAACATTATTAATTTATATAAATATATTAGATTTAAGACAGAAAAAAAAACTTTCATTTACCTTATAAGTTTTGCATATAAGTTTAATCAAATTTCTTTCTGCTTCATGTTCCATTTCTTCTGTATGTTGACCATTAACTGTTATCCATGGTACATATTTATGTGGTGGTTGAAGATTTTCTGTTTGAACAGCATATGCATGTTGTAATTGATTACCTAATGTACTATTTGTACATGCAGTAATTTTACTAAAATCAATTTTTGTTTTTTCTGCACATTGACTTGCAACAGTTTTAACATCACCAAATGTTGATTCAGTACAGTTAACAAATGGCTAAAAAAAACAATTTTTTTATAGAATAAATTCAAGCCTTTCTTTTATCGTTCTTACCATATATTGTTCAATAGCTGGATAAAAATTAAGAACACAAGTCTAAAAACAAAAAATAAATCATATTTATTTATAAAAACAGTATGTTTCTTTTTCTATTTCACATGAATTAGATTTCCTAAACATTCATCAGGACCATGTTGACAAACAAATTGATAAAGATGCGTTGTTGAATCATATGTTTCATGTGCATTTCCATAAGGTACAATAGTTATATTAATAATATCAAGAATTGTTTGATATGTTTTTAAAAGTTGTGTTGTCATAAAATGTCGACAATCAGGACAAAGTGTTTCATAATAGAGTGTAAAATTAACTTTATCATTTCTATCATGAATTTTCCAAACAAATTTTTTACATTGTTCCGTTACCTGAAATTAAAAAAAAAAAGAAGTAGCTATTTAAATAATTATCAGAATACAAAAACAAAAAAGACAGAAATATTTTCATTTACATACACCACAAACTTGAGCAATTTTTTTATTTTGACACCATTTAGCTGATAATTTTGGACAATTAATTGTTAAAACACCATTGATACAAAAAATAAAAATTGTTAAAAATATAAACGATGAATACATGATAAAAAGAAAGCACGTAATAAAAATGATAAAAATGATGTTGATAACATTATATACTAATTTTTCTATGAAAATAAAACATCATCATTATTATTTAGCAAATTATTTTTTAATCTATTCTGACACTACGAAAACCGAAAAAAAAAACATGATAAAGTCTTCTACACGAAATAATGCATTATGTATATTACAAGTATTCGTTTATAATTTTTCTATTTATAAGAAAATCGAACCGTTAAATAATCATGTTAATATTCTTGTTTAATTTTGATGATTTTCATATTATATATCTGAATGAGATCTTACCATTGAAATCAAAAATATTTCATCAATTATCTGATAGAATATACGAATAAAAAGGAAATAGTTTATTACTTTTATAACATACTTATTCGTTTTATGTCATATATGAGAGAGAGAGAAAAAAAAAGAGAACATCACTGGGTGAAAAAAAGTGAAAGAGAGAAATGAAAAACAAAAGATAAACAATGACACAGTTCACAAGTCCTTTTTGCATTGAACAGGTAGATCAGATCCCTAAAAAAAATAACCATTGATCTTAAATAATCAAAAAAATAAAACAATTCATTTTTACTTTATATGATTTACATATAAGTCCAATAAGATCTTTTTCAGCTTGTTTTTGCATATCATCTGTATGTTCACCATTTAGTGTTATCCAAGGTACATATTGATGTGGTGGTTGAAGACTTTCAGTTTGAACAGCATATGCATGTTGTAATTGATTACCTAATCGACTATGAGTACAAGCAGTTATTTGATCAAAATCAATTGTTGATTTTTGTGCACATTGTGTTGCTACTGTTTCAACATCACCATCAGTTGATTCTGTACAATAAATAAATGACTAATAGAAAATCCAAAAAAATTAAATTAAATAAATTTCTATTTCAAATATAATTTTTACCATATGTTGTTCACTTTTGGGATAGAAATTTAAAATACAAGTCTAAAACACAACAACATAAAAAATAAACTGAAATTCAATTTATTATTAAATCATCAGCAAAAAAGGAAGCATAGCTATTTTTGATTTGACTTTCATTCTTTATAAGGATTATTTTTTTTTTCATAAGTTCTTTATCCACGAATATTGACTCTTTTAGCTTGCATAATAACGTAGAGATCCAAGAATTTTAGAATAGACTCTACGCTACAAACTACTTAAGACAATTCAAAAGTAATAGTAGAATCGGTCTATGATATTTAATCACTTTTTAATAAGTATCATAATAATAAAAACTCGATAAGAACGACTTTTTTTATGATATGCACCGACATTATTGAATTATATTATTTTCTTGCTTTTCTCTTTATTGATATAGGTGCTTAAGTGTGCCATAGAGTTCGGTAGTTCAACAAAAATTATCCGGAACTAGAATCACGGTTTGAGTTTTTTGAAATTTTTGAATTTTTATGTGATACAAGAAAATTTTTGATATTTACATGAATCAAATTTCCATAACATTCTTCAGCACCATGTTGACAATAGAATTGATAAAGTTTTGTTTCTGGTCGATATAATTCTCGAGCATTTCCATATGGAACAAATGTTATATTAACAATATCAAGTATAGATTGATAAGTATTCCAAACTTGTGTTGTTATAAATTTTCGACTATCAGGACAAAGTGTTTCATAATAAATTGATAAATTAACACGATCACTTTCTGTTCGAGTTTTCCAAATATATGCTTCACATTGTTCAATTACCTAAGGAGAAGAATATTCAAAAAATTAATAGAAAAGAGATTTTATTTTACATACATCACAAGCTTGAGCAATTTCTTTTGTTTCACACCATTTTGATGGTGAACTTGGACAATCAATGGTTAGACCATTATTAACAAGTAAAAAAAGTATAATTGAAATGATAAGTGACATGTACATAGTAATAAAATATTATCTGAAAAAAAAAGAACTCTATTGAAAATGAAGAATTGATCATAAAAACAAAGGTTAACAAATGTATCTAATCTACTTAACAATCAAGAAAGCTCACTGTTTTCTTTTCATAGTCTCTAAATTAAGATATTCAACTTCGAGTCGAGCATCAAAGATCACATCACTAACACCAATACCACGATATGAATTTCCAACAAGTGTTATTGGTAAGTTATTACGTCGAATAAGAGCATAAATATCATCAAGAACATCCTCATGACCGACATGATAATTCTAGAAATAAGAAAAAAGAATTAGTTTTATTATCATTCAATGATGAGTTCAATTAGTTATATCTAAGCTAGTCCTTAGCTGATTGATCTCTTTTTAAGTTCACACTATGTGCTTTTTATGTAGATTCAAATTAACTATGAATACTCCTGAAAATTTTTCATATCCTTATCTTTCGCTGCAAAGATACTGCACTTTTACCGTATTCGTTAAATGAATGTCATGGACTCATCTGAGAAACATCAGTAAAATTGATTTTCGAATTTCAGCTTGAAATTTTTTGCATAGAGAGAAGTCTTAACGAAAATAATTTTTTTTTATGATTGCTTCACGTCTCTGCACTGTTCCTATCCTAAGATACAACTATGTTAATAGTGTGTCTGTTACATCCAAATTAAAAGATGTGAAACTTTCACAATAGATTACTTTGATTAAACTTTATCGTTATGGAAATAATCGAGTTGAAATTCAAAAATTATAAACTCTTTTCAAAATAATGCATATAGTCTCGACGCAAAAGTGATTTCTCAGATGATCTGATAATAATTAAGTTAAGACCAATCCAATGGGCTCTTACACTGAGACTAAAACGAACTCTGCACATATTTCACTTTAAATTAATACTAAAAAAGTTGACTTAACATACTGCTATTGCTTTATTAAGTCTTGATATTGAATAAAATAATGGTTTTTCATTTAAATTCATTTGTTTTTTTAATTCATTCATAACAATATGCATTAATTGTTCATCAGTACATTGTCCTAATCTTAATTGATCATACCATGCTCCACCCATCATAACAGTTAAATGTGATCCACGTTTTTGTTTATCACTTTCATGACGTATACATGAATCAAATAAAACTCCAAGTAAATGTGATTGTTCACGTGATGGTATTAAATAACCAAATGCTACTTGAGGAAAAATATCTTGTTTTTCATAAAGTAAATTAATAACAATCATATTAACAAATGGTATTTGATTTAAACGTGTATGTAAAATTTCATATTGTTTATTATCAAAATAATTAGCTAATTCAAATGATGGTATTGCACTTATTAAATGATCAATATGATATTTTTCATTAGATTGTGTTAAAATTTCAATAGAATTTTGTTCATTTTCTAAAAATTGAATTTTTTTTATTGATTGATTAGGTATTAATTCAATATTTGGTAATGTTTGAAGATATTTTACTAATGCTTGTACAAGTGTTTCTAATCCATCTCTTAAATAATAAATTGGATATTTATTTAATAATGTTGAATAATCTTTTAAATTTAAATCATTAAAAAGAAAATGTATTGAATCTTCATTTTGTTTCTCTTTTCTTGCTTTTAATAGACCAGCTACAATTGAACCATAACGTTGTTCAAGATTAAAAATTTTTTTTAATACACTTCGAGCACTTAAATCTGTTACACTACCAGCATAAATACCTTTTAAAAGTGGATCAAGTAAATATTCAACAATATCTTCAGCAAGAATATGACCTAATTTTCAAAGAAGTTTTTTTTTTAAATAAACAAAACAAAATTCTTAATATTTACCAAAACGACGATAAATAAATGATTTAATAGTTTCATCTTGAACAGTCATTCGACCTTTTTCAGAAAAATATTCATAAAGAATATAAAATATTGGTGGATAACGTAATGGTTTTCCACCAAATATTAATGATAAATCATTAATATTAATTAAATTTTTATTATAATAAATAAGTCGATTTTTAAATGCTGGTGATGTTTTTTCAATAGGACAAAATTGATCATCATATATATGAAGTTGTTCAAGTAATTTTAATGTATTTATTGTTGAATGATTATTTGATGATGCTATACCAGTATGAAGACGTAATGTTCGTGCACCAAGTTCAAATATATGTGAATCATATTTTTTTTCAAGTTGTTTAGATTGTATCCAACCACCAAAACGTGATGATCTTTCGAATAATAATATACGTAAATTAGGAATTTTCGAACGTGCTACTTTTTGTGAAAGATAATAAGCTGATGCAAGACCGGCTATACCACCACCGACAATACCTATTGTCGGTGATTTCTGCATTCTAGAAATGAGAAAAACAAAGAAGAACTCACTGTATAATATAAAAACTATATATATTGTAGGTACTAATACTTTCTATGCTAGTTATCGGTCAAATAACGAACTAATCAAACACATTAAAAACAAAGAGGGCGTTATATTGCATTTGATTTATTTATCAAAATCAATAACAACTTTTCCTTTAACTCGACTCGTATCTAAACGTTCATAAGCTTGTTTTACATCATTACTACATGGAAATACAGAATCAATTACAGGTTTAATAATGCCTTTATTAAGCATATAAAACATTTGATTTATATTTTCTTCTTTCGATGATAAATTAATACAATAATAACGTGATCCAAAACCAATTATTGATTTAAACAAATAAATAAGATGCTGTACCACCTAAAATATTTCATGATGTTTTATCACCAACAATTGTTAAATAAATTGATTGATTTGATTGAAGAAAATCTGAATTAAGACATGGAATAAATTCAATTCCACCTACACAATCAAGAATAATATCATATGGTCCATATTGTTTACTTGCCATAACAATATCATTTTTTGTATAATCAATTACTTCATTTGCACCCATTTCTTTAACAAATTCAATATTTTGACTTGAACATATTCCAACGATATATTTATTCATTGCTCGTGCAATTTGACATGCTATATGACCAACACCACCAGATGCACCAATAATAAGTATTTTTTGATTATTTGTATGATCATCTATAAAACCACCCCAATCATGTAAAGCTGTATAAGCTGTAAGAAAAACAAGTGGTATAGCAGCTGCTTCATTATGTGATAAATTAGTTGGTTTATGAGTCATACTTGACATATTTTTAGATCATTTTATATATTGACTAAGACAACCATTACCCGTAATGGATAAATTTAAACCAAATACTTCATCACCAATTTTATAAATTCTACCAGAAAAATCAGCACCAGGAATTTTTGCTTTATTTATACCAGAAAATAGTAGCCAATTTGCAATCCATTGTGGCATATTACCGAGTTGAATATCTACTGAATTGAGACCAATTGCTTTTATTTCAACAATTACTACATTTGGTTCTAATTGAGTCTTGTTCATAATAAACCCATGCTTTTGATAATAGAGTATTATTTGATGATAGTGTAGATTCTGACATTATGGGCCAAATAACATTCGTTAGTTTACTTGTAAACTACTACGCCATGACTTATCACAATTTTGAGTATCATACAAACTAACACGTCCATGCACACTTTGACGGCTGAGTTTAATTTTGATCGTGTAAAATTCCTCAATGATCTTAACTGAAGTATTCATGTTTGGCATATAATATTGAAGACATAATCATGAGTTTTCAATTTTTGACAAAAATCTCTAGATATTGATTTTATAATTATCACAGAAATCATTTGATTACGAAATATGATATTTATCAAATAAGCTCTTTATATAACATGTGAATAGCAAGAGATATCTAAAGTTTTTTTCATTCTTGAATAAAGAAATGTTACTTTTAATTTTTAAAAATAAATGGTAAACGTAAATATAACAAATACAATCATGCAAGTGTTTTCTTTTATGATAAATCGAAAAGATGATTTTCACAGAAGAATAAGAGTTCATATTTAGTTTAGAAAGTGGATCGTAAGTACCCATGTTCGAATTTTATTCTCCGAGTTTATTCGATAGGTTTCGACAAGTCTAGAATGAAATTTTAATGTGATAAAAAAACCATTTTTAAATTGATCAAATTTCAATCCTTTCTGATACAGTGGTTTTGAGTGGTCGGACACTGTGCGTCGCAAATACTTCACGTCAAATCCTTGAACTATTCAAAAGTAACAAAGCGAGATCTTGATGTAGGATTTCGGTGCCCATCACAAGTTGAAACACTTATCAAATAACCGACTGGGTAGTTATAAATGCTAACGTTAGGCAAACAATAACTACGGCGAAGCAACTACTTTTATTTAGAGGATGGCAACATTGCATAAATTTGCACGAAATGTCGACCTCCACAAATTTAAAACTCTGAGACTTGATAAATCTCAAAGATTAGTAATTAAAATTTTGATTCAGTACATTCATAGCAATGAAATTCGAAATATTTTTTTGAATATTATCGTTGTAACAGCAAGTTTTTAGACATTATGAACAAGAGTTACACCTGAGGGTGTGGGTGTTAATGAACAATAGACACTCACCCACATCCACTCAGAGCAGGAGAGCGGATTTTACATAGGCAAATAATAAAAGCAGGAGGAGCATTACGACCCATTTTTTCTTCGCGCATCTCTTTTAGCCATAGTTACAATCGTGGTTATGATTAGTGATTTGAATTGATGCTCATTAACTTCTACGAATGAATAGATGCAGACATCAAATAAACATTTATACGGTATAATTACATCAAATGTAAACATAGACAAGAAAGAATGAACACTTATTAACTATGTTGTATCTTCTGGATAAAAACAGAAAACAGCGAATGAGGACTAACTGCTTCTCTTTGAAGAACATTTTATTAAAACCAATGTAAGAGTGATATGCTTACAATGTGTTGGTCGTGTTTTTTTGTCGTCACTTATTCTACGTAGTTTTCAGCATAAAGATTATACTTAGTCTGATTATACTTACATGTATGGTGTTTTGCTTTCTCGATGCTCTATAAAATGAAATAAGAAGAAAAATTCTTTTTTTCTCTATGGATGTATCATATGGAAGATGTTGGGAAAGCCTCAGTATATGAGAAGTATGTATGATAGATAATGATTTTGAGACAAAAGTCTGGCAATATACCATTGAAGCTATGATCATGGACGCATTATACAATCGGAGCTTCTGATAATTAAGTATATTATAATGATTATCAACGAATGAGTAGTAATATTCATTTTTCTGAAAATAAAACAATTGGTATTTATATGATTAAATGCTTATTATATATTTAATTTGAACGACTAATAAAGCAAGAATTATGCTTTTCTTGAATCTTCTTTTTTTCAGATCTTATAATTAAGTTCTTGTTAAGTTGTTTAGTTACTTGGTAGTGAAAGACAAGTAATTGCATACGATCAATTTAGAAGCAATGAGTTTTGATTTGTAGGGTGTGGATGTAAATGTGGGTGTAATCCATAACCCACACCCACATCCTCTTTTTCTTCTGTTGTTTTCTAATTAATTTGTTGTTTTTCTGATTTTATATTGACATATTTTCGTTTATCATAATATGGTTTTTAATCAGGTTTACTCTAATGTTCAGCTCTTGTCTACATGGGTTCAAATGTCGAGACATCTTGACGGTTTCGTTCCTCAAATATATTTTGTATTTAGTCGATTGTGGCTTATTCAAACATTTACTTGTATGTTTTATTGTACAAAAGCAAAGAAATATTTTCCAACTAGATTAAATTCAAAATATCACGCTATTGTACAATTTGGTTTTGTTTTATTAACGTATGGGACTCTATATATTGCTGAAATACTCTATACTCGTCTTATTGTACTTACCTTAGCTTCAATGCATTTATTCATCATGTCGTTGCAATTATCATATCTTTTGTGACTTTGTTTCAACAAAATATGATTTGTGTATTTTCTCTAATACCTTATGTACTTTATTTACTTTATCGGTATTTTCAAGCTCAATATGATTATCTACTAGATGTTTATAATGGGTCTCTCATTGCCGTGACACTTATTATAGTATGTTTCAATTAATCAACGCATGATATGAGACTTAAAATAGGTTTCACACTTTGTGTTTATTTCAATTTAACATATTTACATATTTTTATGAGAACGAATTGAATTTGTTGGAAAAACCGAAATTTTTAAACTGATAAAATCACTGATTCTCTCCTTATTATCAACAACGCCTTTTTATTTATATTTACTTATAATATTAAAAAAACTAAATCTGTTTTTCAAATCATAAATCAGATTTTTTTCTATATTTCATTATCGATAGGCTTTATGTTGAAGCGAATGCAATTAGAGAAATAGATATAACTTCTCGAGTTTAAATTTGATGGGAAGTGTCTATATTAGAATTGTGAAAAGCAAGGACACAAGAAAGTTTTCGTTGGGAAAATACAGAAAATAATGTGTTCGATTCATTGCGAACTATTTTAAACTTAGAAAAATAAATTGTTCATTTTACCATCTTTTAAAAAAAAGTCTCCAATATATTAATTAAATCATCAAAATTGAAATGAAGGATGTGAGCGTGGGTGGACGGGTGGGTAGAAATGCATTTCCACTGACACCCATACCCACATCTAGTTTTTGAAAGTTGCTCATCTTGAACATATCGACTGTATCGTATGTGGCAAAATAATGGAGACTATTTAAGATAATAAAATATCTGCATTTTGTAGATAATTGAACAAGGAATCTTTTTCTAAAAAAATGTTCTTTTTCAATGTTGAAATATAAGTAATATATACTCAAAATACTGAGAGGCACATTCTTTATGGTCCACTTATTACAAGTGAGTGATGAAGTTTATGCGATTTGATAAAATATATTTTGTTCTATAGTATATTATGATGATAGATTAAGATGCTTCAACAATTTATTAGACGAACAACATTCATTTGATACAAAAAAATGAAACGTTTTTAAACTGTTCTCAAAGCACTGTTTCTGTTGCATGTCGTCTTGTATTTTGTTGCTTAGTTTTTATGACAGCCATCAGTATAGAAATATTTGGTTGAGATGCTTGCCATCGTTGACGCATATGGTAAGGCAATAGTTTGATCAACGCTTTTATGAACGTTTGTCGAAATACGCGTGATGTTAATATTGATAGATAAAATGATTTGACATTGTTCAAATAGAAACAATAATTTGTAAGCCAATAGGAAAAATTAATAATAATTCGTTGCTCGGAGGTTCTACCGCTGGCAGGAATATAATAATACATATACATAATCGACCATTGTAATGTAATGAAAGCTGTCGCTATAACTTGTGTGAAGATCATAGTGATGAATCGTTTTCTAGAAGAATTTGACTGTGCCCTTCTTGTTCCATGCTAAAATAAATCATCATTATCTATTTCCAGAGAGAATTAATAAACTTACTACTCGTTGACGACTTTGATGAACATTCCGAAACGTGAGCAAGACAAACACAAGCATTGCCGCTGGTTGCATAAGACATTGGATCACAATATACAAAATATTATTGATCAGTGGATATTTGACTGCACATCCTAAACCACTTTTATACTCGTAAAGGATGAGTCCACGAAGTGAAGCGACACAACTCAAGATGATAGTAATAGCGATCAACCATGGTGTCATTTTAAGTTTATTGAGACGACGTATGGGTGACGCCAGTTTACATGTGCAAGCATATCGATCAATAATAGACATCAACAAAAAATTAATTGATAAATGAGGGAGAAATCCAAGCATAAAAATATAGAACTTGCACAGGTCGGGTATCTTGATCCACGGAATATATACTCTATATCTTGAATTTAGATAGAGTGGCAATGTATTGAAAAAAAGAACGGTAGCATCCATGATAGAACCAAAGAGTAAATATATGCAACATGTATTCGATCGAAGTTCTGCTTGAGTAAATGTTAAAGCATTGCCCATGAATCCGATCAAACCAAGAGTGATGAGTATTAATGGAAGATGATTCACAAATCGTTCCATCAAAATATTGAGAATAATGATTATGTTTGTTACTTCTGTTGAAGTAACCATCGCTACCGTGCTGTTCAATGACATTTTAATGGATTAATGCTCAAAAACTGACTATGGAACACTGCTATATGATATAACTCTCGTATTTATAATATATCATTTTTTTTTCTTCTTTCA